TAAGTGGGTTTTTTTATTTTAATTTCGACAAATGTAAGAAACCGCAAAGAGAGGAAGACCGAACAAAGAATGGCTTTACAACACGAGAGATTAGTGCCGGAAAGACGTGGCTTACTGCTTGAGCATATTGGCACAAGAGACAGAGGCACGTGGAAACAAATTACGAAATATGATGATGACGATTACGTGATTGGGAGGCGTCTGCGTGTACGTCCGTCCCGGGACTCTCCACGTGTTTCAATGAAACTACGACTAGTAGCTGGGACGTTTTAGTCGGATTAATTGCACACTATCTAACACGATTTTTGTTCCTGGGTAAGTGTTATTTTCTAACTGCTTATGCCTCAAACGTATAGCAAATGGCTATTATTATTATTCCCCACAAACTTTGCTTTTGTGACCAGGCCTTTACGTGAAGGAATTGACACAAATGCACACCGCGTTTTCTCATTGACAATAGGTACATTTATAAATATCACTGTCCTGGTCACAACAGCAAAGTTTGTGGGAAATAATAGCCATTTTCTGTACTTTTCAGGCATAAGCAATTAAGAAATAACACTAGGAACAAAAAATAAATACATTTGTTACACAGTGTTATTAATGGAGTGGATTTTTAACTTTGCTTTTGTGTCCTGTGCTTTATTATTTGCGACCAATCGCGTTATTGGCATAATCGATCGTTTCGTGATTAGAATAATCAATTCGTCTTTTTGGGACCCTCTTTGCCAGTTTTAAGATGATGAAAAATAATCCAGGTGTTCAAAAAAAAGATGTTCAAATACTTAAATAGACACACCTATTACAAGCCATCAAGTCAGCATTAACCACACATATTTGTGGTAAAACAAGAAAACACGATACTCGCAAAACGGCTCCCATATAGGTAACTGCTGAACCCGAGCCGTTCATACTTTGGCGTGTGCATCGTCGTTTTACTGTTTGCGTCGTTTTGACGTCCTCTTGTTTGTAACACCGTTGAGACAAAGTCATTAAAAGGTTGTCCCTGGTGTAGCCAAATCAGTTTCAACAACAATGCATACATTTTCAAAGCATTTTAACACGTACGCTTTCGCGACCAATTTTATCCAGAATGGAGGTGTTTTAATGTACGTTGATTACCATATGAATGACCCAACAGTATCCATTGTAATGTATATGCATTCATTAACCCTCCCCCCAACCCGGCCTTCGCACCTGATTGGCTCACAAGTGACAACATCACATCTATCCCTATATTTAAGAACGAAACATGAGGATTTATCCCAAGGCCGTAGCCATGGAGTCAACATTAGGGGGGGACCAAATCTTCCCCCCCAATATAATTATAATTACGGCCTTGATTTATCCACAAATATGGCTGTCGCCTGATGATGAAACTTGTAATTAATGGCGAAACGTCGTACTCGAATTTTAATGGATTTACTCTTCACCACACCGATGTGCTATACGAGTGCCGTGTCAATGATTCGGAGACGAGGTTTGTCGGAGGCAGCTTCTTTTTATTTAGAACATTCACGGTCTCGCCTGCACACTCTCTACAGTCGTTTAGCCGATACACAACACAAGCCGTCTAACACTGACGGCGCTGACCGAGACAGCCAACAACTATCTGGGCGAAGACGGCGGCGACGAGACAACAGAAACGACGAATCAAATCCCAAAAACCGGCAGCCTCGAGCTCCCCGCTCTCGGCTGCTTTTATGCTCCCAGCGCGGCCTGGCTCTGCCCTGACCCCACCTCCCTTCTCGAACCCACGAGCAGGTTCCAGGGGCTTCCAGACGGGGTCCTCCGCGACCCTTGCCCCAGTTCCTCTGCTCTGCCAACACACACCGTGCACACCCTCATCGGCGTGTGCGCTGTCTGTCCACCAGTTGCCGCTGCCGTCCACCAGCCAGCACTATTACACTACACTAGTAACTAATTGGCATGTTCCGTTTACGTGACAAACCTTACTAATTGGTTGTGTCGGGTGGTGGCGGGTTTAACGATATTTTTATTACTGGTAGGAAACGTAGTAAACTGGAAGCCCAACCGGGATTATCCCAGGAGGCAGGGGATTAATTGTGTATGTCTGTGGATGTCTGTCCACGTGTATCTGGATACCCGGATATATAACAAATGCGCTCCTAGTGGGCATTACTGGTAGGAAACATAGTGGACTGGAAGCCCAACCGGGATTAATTCACAGGAGGCAGGGGATTAATTGTGTATGTCTGTGGATGTCTGTCCACGTGTATCCGGACACCCGGATAAAATGGGTGGGGCTGGGTGGAGAGGGGAGGGTGGGGAGGGTGGGGCTGGGTGGGGGGTGGGGCTGGGTGGGGGGAATGAGGGGTGGGGCTAGGTGGGGAGGGGCTGGTCACCCCGTGGTGCCCTTATAAAACTCAACGTTTAACCTACTCATGCCGGTTTGTGCCCGCCCTCAGTCAGGCATATTTGCGGAATACACCACGTGCCGCCGTTGACCCTGGCCATTGACCGAGGAACCCAACGTTCCTACCAGCTCCCTCCGCAGGAATGTGTTATTGATTTGAAGCTTTTGTCACTGCAGAAATCCATACTCTTTGGTTCTTTCGGTAAGGTCATGTAGGTAGAAAATAAATCCCGTTTCTGGCGCAACACAAGCGTCCGTTATCAGGTACCTATGTGACTTTACCGAAAGAACCAAAGATATATTTATATTTACGCAAACCCAAAAACTCTGGATTTTCAAAGCATATTTGTGTGCATTTTTTTCCACAAGTACGTATACTTAATGCAGATTTCATGCCTTGTAATGTGTCAATTTGGTATTTTAACGTTTTCTTACCACTTTCTTTTTAATCTTCAATTAATCTTGTTTTATGCGGTCATGAAGGGTCATTGCCCGACACGTTGCCTGTTACGTTTTCATTCTAAGGCCAGTGTTATTCACGGTGTTGATGTTTGTGTTATTTGTGCATGTGCATCATTACTAATGCAGCAGCGTCAACATTTATCAATCTAAGTTGATGAATTTGACTTGAGAATTGTTTTACGTTTTTATTGTTTCCCTTCTGCGTGACTCTACCGAAAGAACCAAGAATAAGAATCCCTGCAGCAGGAATTAGATCGGGCAAATTATACGATAAAGTTAAAAGATGTTGACCAAATATATGGCGACTATTGTACTTTAATGTATACGGCCCCTTAATCTCCCCCTTTAACCAGCACCTTTGTTCCTTGTTCAAATTCTGTCTATCACCCATTAACCCAATTCATTCAACCCAATACCCATTTATTATCAATTTCGCTTTTACAGAGTTGACGCATGACAGATTTACTTCAACTCTCATTCATCTCCACCATTACATATGTACCACTAATTCTTTGTAATGTGCCTTGGTTAATGTGCTAAAGTCCTTTTAGTATCCAGACATTTTTGAAAAGATGGAATTTAGCGTGGTTAAAGCATTAAAGGATTTGTAAGTTCCACTTGGTTTTTATTTTAGGTGCAAATGCACTTTAATGTAAGCTGCTTGCCATCAACCTGGCAGTTCGAGCATCGACGAGTCAAGCCAGACACGAGATACTAGGTAAAAAAATAAATCGGTCGTTTGCTTAAATTGTATCGAGTGCTGAAATTATTTAATCCCGCAAGGCTGTTGGGTTGTTTTAAACCCAGAAGCGGGATACTCCCCCCACACCATAACGCAGCAATACCAGTGAGAGCGCATGCAAAGGAACTTTCTAGATTCGTAATCGAAGTGTTAACTCGCGACGCACCACACCATTACTCAGCAACTCGTCCCAATGACCTTATTTCCACAAGTTTGCCTTGTAGTGGTCAAGTTGCTCAGGTATTGCATACTGGGCTACGGCAAGATGCGTTGTTGATAATGGTCGTGACAAACGGCAAAGACGGTGGGGGGGAAATGCACTAAGTATGCCCATCAGATTGAATGCATAAACTTGTAAAGGCTCTTGGTCTGTACATTGAGTTGGGTTAGCAGGGGGGGGATGAATCTCCGGAGCAGAAGTCCAACTACATGCAGGGGGGCCCCGCTAATGTGTGCGAGTGATGTGCAACAATTTGACAGCAACAGCCACAAGCAAAGCTAAATGGCATTAAATGTAAAAGTTTTATTGCATTTCAAATGTGAAAAACATGTTTACGCATAATTACCACCGACTGACAATTTAGAAAATCCACCAGGAATTTACACTACACGATGAAACGATGTCAACATCACGAATATCTTAACCTCTTCCTTGAGAAAACTTGACACGTGCGTTCTGCAAAAAAAAAAATCACAAGCATTATTACAGCTGCTTCAGCTGTTCGACCCTTTACAAATGGTCGGTTATATAATGAATTTAATAGACCTCGTCAGAAAGCAACCGGTCAGTCATGGTTCATCAGACTGGGGCGGTATATACCTCATCATTACAAAGGTCTAAATATCTAAAACGAAGCAAAGATTGAGCATCGAGTACAACGAGTTCACTCACTATTGTCCAAGAACTCTGTAGGAAGCGAGACTTCAGTTTCAATGCAGTCATGCATCCTCCTGGACTTGTTGAATCCTGCAGAAAGAAGCCAGTGTTTAAACAAGCGTATTAATGGAAGCCTCAAGCTCATAACAGCAGGGTGCATGTCTGTACATGAAATGCCAAGTGGAGGGCATTCAGCCGAGCGACACGAGCATCAGCTGCCCCCAACTGTGATTGTCATGCACCATTGATGCACTTAATAGAATGTCAACAACATTGAGCTGCACTTTGTGTTCTACTTTTTAACTTGCCCTCAATAGAGAATGTTACACCACATGCCACACAAATGCTGAACTGTACAGATATTTTTCATGATCACGGGAGGAATTGTACAAGTTCGATCTGGATAAAGTGTTACATCGCCTAACTCGCCATAAACTCTTAATTCAATAAGAGCCAAAACTACCGTGGAGCAAAGATGTTTTCTAACACAAATTCATGTTTTGGGGCCTTAAAATCAGTGCAAGCAATAGGATCGACTCCCCCCCCCTCAGACTGTTCAAAGAACAAGTATCCTCTTGTAGGGTTGCCAGTTGCAGTGGGTTCACCTTTTCAGGTTCTGCAGCCAGTGCAACCCCTCCGCTAAGAGTGTTCATCATAGGGGGAAGGTTCATCCCGAATGCACCACACGACAGACTAATAATTAATGAAAATATGAAGCGTAATGCAACTGCTTACCCGTGCATCTCCATTGCTTTTTGCGCCTCAAATTAGAACTGAAAAAGATAACGTCACAATTATGGAAATGAGCATATTAAATTTCCACTGCTATATGCAAGCTGCCGACAGCACATTTTTTCAGAATAGCGACGATTTTATTTTCAGAGTCCATGAGACTCAAAAATGCGTAGATTTTCATCCTCAAAACATGCTGGAGTAGCAAGATACATTACAAGGTTTAATACCCTGTTCGCACCTCCATACAATCAACATGCAATCATTTGCCATCCACTAAAGTCCTACAACACCAAGGTCAACTTTAAATCTCTCAATGCCAAAAGCCATGCCTCAATCAGACGCTACTAATAATCCGCTATTGTGCACTCACCCCCTTTCATTTCAAATGATCCGTCCATCTTCAACTTCTTCGAAGTGCATTCATTCTGCAAATGACACACTTATTATCCTACCTGCATTCAAAAGCATAAGAGCTAAGTGACACTTGTGGCCCATGTTTGATCAGTTTTGGTGACTCTGTTAATTTTATGAAACATCAGAATTCAGAAAAGGAACAATCATCATTTCAAACAAAGCCAGCAATATAACAAATATTATTTTCAGTGTTTAGTGTAACATACCTTCAAGAAACTCCATCCAATTCAGATTTTCTCAACTTCTGAAACACCACAAGGCAATGTTTGTTAGATTTGCCAGCCGGTGCAAATTATTAGGCGATTCGGAACTATTTTAATCCATGGCATTGTGAATTATCAGCGTGAAAATGCTTGTGCATGCACGTGAATCTGTGTCAGAACTCCGACATGAACGTCTCATCATATATATTCAGTCGAACGAGACTTCACTTTGGTCATCATCAACAGACGAGTGAGTGAACGCAAACCTCTCCGCATCACACTATGCCTCACCTCCATTAGGTAGGTGACAGCATGGCACCTCATGAAGGGAGGCAAGGCAGCCACCTGGAATTCAGAAGGAAAAGTCAGTTTAGAAGTTTAATTAAAAGAACAAGCGCGATTGTAATATGAACTCCACTCAGGTCAATGCGTTGGAACACGGGTAAGGTTTGTTTTCATTACTGTCAAAGTGAGCTAGTTTGAGTCATCATTGTGGAGGCAGGACTTCAAGCAGTGATTACCAAATTTTAACTCACCATGGCCATCAGCAGTGGGCTCTCCTCTGTTCGACAAATCCAAGGGACCTGCAATGGTAGAACATCGACCTTAGACATAGCATCATGCCACAGCAAAATGTATCTTGTTACAAGTGTATTTATCCGACTTAAAATCAGGGCAGTCAAATATTACTCAACGGTGAGGTGAAGAGGTCAGATAAGTGTGTCATCACTGAGGATCAGACATATGCTTGTCTATTGTATGAATCATCATTCATCTTCACCTAACGGATAATTTTAATAGGCACCTAACTTGTCGCCCCCTCGTGGCGAAATTTGCCACGAGGTAATTTAAAAAAAACTCCCCTGAACGTTAACATAGTGCCTCTAGTGGCAGCAAGGGTCATGCGCAAGCAGACGCACACGATGCAACAGTTAAATACACGAATCAATGCACGAAAAAAACATTAACTTATAATCAGTTTCGACACGCTTACAAATTGAAAAGAACTACGTACCTTCATTCGCCAGGCGCAACGTGAAGCTCGCGAGGTTGCCGTGCAGCCTGTGTGACAAAGGCACCAAAGGTTAGTGTGAACAACTCCCCATCATGAACGTGCAAATGACACGTAGAGTGTTGCTCAGCAAAATCCTAGTCGTCTTCATGCGGATCAGGAAGAGAGAGTTCATTTATCTCATCACAGCAACAGTCACCATGCAATCAATGTCCATGGTAAAATATTTAGTCAACACCAATTACAAAGTTAATTCAAGAGGCAACGTTCCAGGCAGAAGTGTCGTGGCCGGTGTTTGGACCATTGCCGATATTTTAAGGAAGCGTAATACGTTTTGGTAACTGTGCACCACTGCCAATGCAGAATAAACACAAATAAGTTCGAGTGCATTGATCAAAACGGAAGCCATACAATGTTTAACCGAGGCAAATTAATAAAGCAGGATGAAATGCCTCACCAGGAGCCAAGGAGTCTCTGTTCGTCTCAGTGGTGTCCATCACCAGGGTTAGCCCTGTGGAAATAGACGAAATAACCTCGTGTTAACCACAACACAGTAATTACTAATGGGGCCCTATGCCAATGAGCCTCTTCTCCAGATCAAGCTTAGATTTCATTGTTACAATGACATTAACTTTCTGAACGTGTTTCCCACTGGAATATGGATGGGTTACCCAGCTAAACGTTACATTATTTCAGCAACCTTTTAAGGCCACCCTGCATCTATATACGACTGCAAGTGAACGTGGAATATCAAACACCGACTTAAAGTCGCCAATGTGGGCAAGCACAGCCTCCATTACTAAAGGAAACGGATTTGCCCTCGTTCTCTCATCAGTCACGTTTCTTCCACACAAGAGTTCAGAACAGGTCTGTGGATATCATCACGCGAGAGGGGCCCAGCGGTCGAGTGCAACAGTAATATTGAGACAGACCACATTTTAATCGAGCGTGCAATGCCCTACAGGGATGACAAACGAGTCACATTTTCCCCCTTTCAATAACAGTGCGTTAACGGCCATACAACCTATACTCGGAATCATAGTAAATGACTACAAGGTGGCTACAAAGTATCTTTGCACGAAACAACATGTACCTCTAATTAAACATCTCCGTGTTGTGCCCTCCATTCTCCACGACGGAGTAACTTCGCCCGATCGACACGTTCGGGCTTAAAATGGTCTCCAACCGCAAGTCCCTCTTGGTAATTTTTCTGCAGTGCCGAACGCTTGCGGGTTGAAGTCTGCGGCGAACACGGAAAGGGATATATGATGCATGACGCAGGGCTTTTGCATAGAGCACACTTCCCGTCCCGAATGCCTTCTCTACCACGCCCGTAACGTTTCACTCGCTACTAGCCTTTCGCGCTCAATAGTAAAAAGTCACCGTGTGCCATGTTTGATCACTACCTGGAAACACAGTAAGAGCTAACATTAATATTTCATGCAAAGGGACCGTGGCTACCCTGTAGTCTAGGCTCATCGGCAAAAAAGCGACACGAACTCTGGCTAGCAGCCTTCAAGATTGGCTACTTGGCAGTCTTAGCATATAGCCATAATCTAATTGCGCATAAAATGCATAGATGGGAGTCATTGGATGATAATGCAATGAAAAGTGCGGAATGTTAAGGCTTACTTCGAAGGTCTAGCTAGCCAATTTAATCGATAGGTTGAAGGATTGCAAATCGACTCCGAATTAATCGTGACACATCTAATGATCTCAAAACATGCAATTCACGGCCGCATTGATGCGATCCTTCCAAGTGAAAATATATTTTTCGCAAAATGTATCACGAGATAAAAGCATGCGTAAATTCCACCCCCCCCCCATCCGACATTGGGACTTTATTACACGCGCGGTTATACAATATACATTCCATTGCCAAATTAACATTGGTAAAACAGCGAGCGATGGCGATCGCACCGAGGCCTTCACCACAAACCAAAAGTCACGTGGCTACCACACGCTAGCTCAGCAAAGTGGCCCATCATTTGGACGCTTTTAAAGCACCAAACAAACTCGATGCACGTTTCTTAACGGGGCGGGAAAACCGGGAGGACTCAGAAAAAAATCCACGCGACCATAGAAACAGAGCGATGTAAACTACAAATATACAAGCCACGCGCCAGGATGGAACCCCCCCCCGCCCCCAACCTTTATACCTGGAGATGAATATAACAGCTCTTTAATAAATGACCGTGGGACTTGCTAACCTTACCCTATGGAAGCAAACCACATATAGCCATATGTAACCTTACGTAAAGAAACGTCGTGTTATAAAACAAGTCTGTGCAGTAATAAGAAGCAACAAACTCAAAAGCCGAATGGAGACCCGGCGCCATTAGGCTGCGGCCCACAGCGTGGCTGGTTGCGAACTGCCAGGGTTAATTCAAGGACGGCTTCTTAACACGGTCAAGCGCTAGCGACAACACACAGTTCGGTACGCAACGGTAGCAACCGATTGCTAATTAACCAGCGGCAATTAAAACAGTTCAGTTTTAAAAGTAATTCTAAAACGACTGAAGCAGAAACCCCCCTCACCCACACAAACCTCTCAAGGTGATACGCAGCAAGCAAAAGAGAGAGCGGTAGCTCCGCGCACGGTATTTATAGGCAGAGTGAGTGTCGTCGTCAAAACCGCGGCGTCCGATTGGACGGAGCCTGTGGCTTCGGGCCGATTCAAATCCCGGGAACCGAATCGAGTCACGATTTAAGTCGCCGATTCCATCTGTCAGAATCGACAATTGTATCAAATCGTAGGGGTCATAATGTTATGATTATAGGTTCGGATGTACGCGTGGTGTGTTATGTGAGCGGTCTACAGAAACGGTAAAACCGCGATAGATGCTGTACGCACCGGTGTGGCAGAAATAATCGAGTTAGGAATCGACTAGGATTGAAGTCTCTGCGGTTGAATCGTCGGGGGGGGCGGGGCGAAGAGCGTCGCAAAGTTATGAGTGCGGTAATTAGTTTTTTGATGTTGTTGCTGCATTGGCAGTGATGCAAAAACACATACGACAAACTCAACGCATTCGCCAATATCATAATGGCCTGAATGGGAACACATACTATATATAACAGGCGACGTTTCGGGCAAGGGCCCTTTATCATCGTACACGTGGTACATTTTTTGGGGTAATGGCCTTGTCACAGCGCACGTGCTATGAAGAAGTGTTAGTGCTCGAAAGCTTGTCTATTTTTCCCTCTTTTAATGCAGCGTTATTGACGATTATGTGAGTTATGTGTTACAATATTGGCGATGTAGCAGCAGGTGACCATCTGCCACCTGGTGGCGTGGATGGTAATTACAGATATCTGAAACTCGCAATTAAAGGACATTTACTTGTGCACGAATTATGTAACCAACCCTGTTGTCCATCCATCACTGGATGCGGGCCCCCACACGCGGTGTGGGTCGTGAGTTATTTGACCATGCACTGCCGTAGAATTCCCACAACGTAGCCCTGTTTGTTCATGGTACATAGGAATGCTTATCTTGAGATCCAACGAAGTGGATAATATAATTTGGTCATCTTCTTTGGTTCTTTCGGTAAAGTCACGGAGAATGAGAATAAAACAATAAAATTCTCACGACGTTTCGTCGTTATTGTTTTATTTTATTATTTTATTCTCATTCTACGTGACTTACCGAAAGAACCAAAGAAGATGAATCATTGCAGTCACGAAAGCTTTAAATCGAAATATTATTTGGTCAGTCATTAAAAATTGCTTAAAATCAGAATGCTCTGTATACTTTTTCATCACGGGTTGCCTCGCATAAGCCCAAAATGCCAAGCAGCTAGCAACACACAGCACTATCAGAGTTGTGATAAGATTTACCACGTTTCTTAAATTGAGTTATTAATATGCAACACGTTTAAGGAATACTCTATTCGAAAGCGTGATATTTGCTAAACACTAATGCTGCTGTGCCTCTTGCAAACCACTAGATAATTTCACAATGCCGTTTAGTTTCAAAATACTGGCTACATCACGAATATGTATAATTTAAATCTCATAACATATGGCTGCTGATATTTTTTTTATTAATTAACAATATTGTTCGAGACTAAATTTGGAATTTGTATAATCACCCAACATTATCTACCCATAGTACTGTACTTAAGTACGTCACTCGATTAAAATAGCTTAAAGGGTAAAAAGTTACCCCCTTTTAAATTGTTTTATAGGAGAAAAAAGTGTGCATTTGTGTTCATTAAACAAAAAAGTGTAGCGTTAAATCGACAATAGTGTTTATTTCTGTAGACAAAAACGGCTAGTCAGCCATTCGTGTCGATCGGTGGAGTAACACATAAATCAGAGCACTTGTCACATTAAGCTTACAAAATACTGTGAAGTTACCATTTGATGTGTATGACAGCAGCATTCAATGTACACTAAATCAAATTGTGTGAAAATCGTCACTTTTTTAAACAGAGCTAATAAATACATTTTACTTCAGCTAAGAAAAGGAATTACTGTATTCAAGTATAAAATTCTTTATTTAATTTACGAGCGTACCATACAAATGCAAGGGATGAACACTGCCTGGTTACGTTAGTAATGAATAATTAGTAGTAATAAGGTGAAGCCTGAATGGCCGCAAGGGTGACGATGTGTGTGATGGGGTGGCAACACCGATGGGAATGATCGCAGATTCACATGTAAACAAGGTAGCGTTAGCTATGCTATATCACATTCCATTTCAAACACTGCCATCGTTAATGTATATTGCCAGCCAAGCAGTTGCTGATATGGTGTGTGGGTTCGGCGTATGTCACTTCGTTGTCTTATTCTGTTTGCTTCTTTAAGAGTTGTCCTGCTTGGGGAAGAGGGGACCCGTTACACCTGGAAGAAGAAAAATACCTGTTAAGCAGAGCTTTATAAATGGTGAAATTCTAAAAACAAGCAAAATTTTTCACGTGTTTTTTGTAAATGAACAATGGTTCGGAGTGGTAATGTACACACATATTTGCAGGGCACTTTTTTTAAACAAACATAAACGCACGACAATTATATATTCTAGATTTAAAGCTTTCGTGACTGCTAGGATCCATACTCTTTGGTTCTATTGGGTAAAGACACGTAGGTGAAAATAAATAAAATTACTCTTTGGTTCTATTGGGTAAAGTCACGTAGGTGAAAATAAATAAAATTTTACCCAATAGAACCAAAGAGTAATTATATATTCTTTTTAATGTTCATAATAATGTCCTTTCTGTCTCCAGACCGCTTTTCAGGATCTTGCAATGGATAAAAAAAATAGTTGAATGTAATGTAGCATTCTATGTAGGGTATAACAACCAAATGGCTAAGTAGATGCAGCAACAGCTTAAAGGGTGGCCATCAGGTGAGTTGATGTTCGTCAATTTTCATCGGACTTATGGACTTGCGATTATATATATTTATTTCACTGACTCATCATCACACGTTGTATGAAACTGTTTGAAAGGAATGCTACTGACGCAAAACTACATTTACTTGTGAACCTGTCTGAGTGGACATTTATATGTTATGGGTTGGGCGGGAACAACACAGCATACGGTGTCCACCGATAATGAAAACAGTAATTGCGTGTAATTACCAGTCTGCATAACAATTGTGTTGTGGGTGTGTCGGCATAACGGTACTGTGTAAAAGGGCACATGGGTAACTGCAGTAACACCTTTGTTTTGTTCTGCACGGGCAAGTAGAGTTTAAACTCTGCCGGGAGCTCGTCTTCTGAGTAGAGGCGGTCCGAGAAGTAGACTCTCCGAACGCGGCAGTTGGCGTGAATCTTCCCAGACACAAAAAAACCCCGCAAACTTAGTACAATGATAGGACAAACTCACATGATATTTGCTGTACAAAGGCGACTGTAATAAATGTATATGTATTTTTTGTTTGTTTATAAAAATTGTTATTATTGGACACTGTGGAATCAATAATGGTAACAATGCATCCCTATACACCCATCCACCCTTCCTTAGCCTCCCTACCTAGCAATTTGATTAATTTCATGGTCATAATTGGACTGATTAATCGATTGTTTTTAAAATCACATTTTTCTTGTAGAAGTTATATTTTCTGTTTTGCATATTTTGTCTTATATTTTTTATTTGTTACATTATACTAAGAGTAGAATTTGTATTCATTTTAATGGATTCTTCCATGCATAATTTGACACATGAGTGTAAAAATTGGTTTTAATCGTTGAATCAATTAACCATTACACACCCTCTCAGCTGCTACAAACCTATGAGCGGTAATATTCACAATGAAAGGCATCATTCTCAGGGATGATTTTCCCATGCAGTGCAGCTTTCCACTGTGAACGTGGTGGAGGGGGTTGTCGGGGGGGTAGGTACCTGCACGCGCAGTGTCTCGATGTAGTTGGTTCCGTACGCTCGGCGTGTGAAGTCCGAGAGGTTGAACTGAATCTGGTTCCAGCCATCATCGAGGCGCATGGGCATGGTGCAGATGAAGGGCTTCACGCGCGTTGTGCTCTGGTAGTTGCTGGCTCGGAATCGCCGGCGCACGTTTTTGTCATCCAGAACCTGTCCCAGGTGAGAGGTCAATTGCGACGGTTGGAGAGGATTTACTGGTCTGTGATGATAAACATTTAAGAAATAACATTTTAGAAAAATAAAATTTGTTAATGTATGAACGCTTAAATATAAATTTTCAACATAACAGGAAAACAATAATTATTTTATAATTGAGTGTTTTTTTAAATTACCTGCACTTCGAAGGTGAAATACTTCTTTAGATTTTTGATGATCATAACTAGAAAGGGAAGCTTAATGCCCAGGGTTTTCTTCGGATCAGCAGGGCACGTGATGTACGTGGTACTGCAGTCAGACAAAGGGATGACATGTATATCACTACATAAAGCCACACACACCTCTGATTATCACGGTTGGCTACGTATGGTGCGAAAGAAGTTCAACATACTGTACTTAAAACTAAAAGATAACACACTTCACCTTAATAGTAGGCACAATATAAAAAATAATGCCTTTTTGGTCAGGGAGGGTTTACTGAGTACATTTTTCAGGAGGAGTCTACATTTAGATGTTGGTTAATTTCAGAAACGAATGTTTAGCTTTGTGGGGGAGGAAACTGAAGCGCCCAAAAAAAAAACCTCTCGCATGCGAAGGTGATAACACGAGCGGAATAACACACAAAAATCCAGACAGTATAACTTGAGCGTTATACTGTAACTATACTATGAGTGTTATACTGTACAATATCCTGCCCACCTCATGTGTGTGGTCCTTATTAATACATTTTTCTTGACATCTTTTTTGTCATTTATGTACAACCAAATCAGCTATCAACCAGTGTCCCCAGAAAAACCTATATTATGGACAACCAATGTACACAAGTGTGTAATATTTCATTTCTCAGTTCTTGTAAAATGCATTGCAGCCCTTTGTTTTTAGTAAAGTGAAATCCAGCAGTTATTTAGTTTAAAATGTAAATATGATGAAGTAGTCAGGTGACTAAGAGGTCAGAGTATTCAGCTGACATTGCTGCGGTCCTGGGTTCAAATCCAGGCAACCGCCTGTAATTAAACTAGGTTTTCAAGTGCAGTTTAGTTTGTGGTCGTAGCCAGGCAACCAGCCACACAAAAAAATTACAAAAAACATTTCATTAAATGTGTTTCTTTACATTTGGCTAATAATCATCTCTTGAGAATTAAAAAAATATATATATTGACTGTAACTTGAAAAAACATTGCTTTCTATGCCAGGGTGGGTAGGATAGCACTGCCCTCTACTGTGTACACCAGAAGTTACTTGAAAGGATCCTTTGCCAAAGTTTAATGACATCTGATTGTGGGTCACTCTCTAAGACAGAGGATGTTAATGCTCTGCGAAGCATCCAAATGGAATCTTCATTTCATGAGAGGGTGCAGATAGCACAGTGGAAATAAAATTGGGGGGGGGGAAACCCAATTGGTGTTTGTTTTGATTTAAAGCTTTCGTGACTGCAGTAATTCATATTCTTAGCTCTTTTGGTAAAGTCACTTTGAAGGGAAACAATAAAATAATAAAATATATATAAAACAATAAAAATTCTCACGACGTTTCGACCATAACACAAACGGTCATCACACCTGATGATGAATTTTTATTGTTATATATATTTTATTATTTTGTTTCCCTTCAACGTGACTTTACCGAAAGAGCTAAGATATGTTGTTGTTTTTTTTTTAAATCTGCACTTGTGATGGTTACCTGACGTTGGTTCCCTCCACCTCCAGCACCAGCGACTGGATGTCGTTGTCTGTGATGCGCTTGATGTGCCCGTTCCGCACCTGCTCGTACAAACACACCAATCACCATCACAGCCAACAGTCACTAATTGCACCATGCTTTGCTTTCACAAAAAGGACTGAGAACCCACAGCTGAAACTGCCAGATTTGAGCTCCACAGTGTATTTTTTTTTAAATCTAAAGCAAAAAGACGAAAACTGAAGTTACGTCTTCTGCTATAAAAAAAAGGTTTGTAATGAGCTTTTTCAAATAATAATTGTTTATTAAAGTAACGATTGAAAAACTGAATGCACAGCAAAAAATATCACACCTTCATGAGAAAAAAACTTATCCAGCTTAAGGTCAGTAGCTGGTTTCATTAAATCCCTGAAAGGCAATTTTCCACGAGTGTAGGTGCAATTATTAAAAAGGAAAACCACTTTAAGTTGCTTTATGCAATCAGCAACGGCGTGTATTTACTAATCCTTATTTTGAGGCAATTTAGGAGGCATGCTGACTGTAATTGCATAATCCCACTTCGATGGTCTCCACCTTCACCAACTTGCGCTGACCAATGTGGTGAAGTATGGTTAAATAACCCCCCCACACCAAGCAGACAGCATGGGAGACCATCATCCAGCAGTGGACTGACAAAATATCTGTAAATAGGCAACATACATCATTTGTATTTGTGCAAAAGGAGTAATTTCTACAGTACACGACTCCTAATTAGAAATCAATTATTCTTATAAACCTCACAGAAACGGTGATTAGGAGGCCTTATGGCAAACCAAGGACCACTTCCATAATCATGATCCTTCTATTCATACACAGCTTATGCAATGCAACGTATACAGGGCAATGCTGTATATGAAAACCACGTAACATTTCACGTTCCCCCTTGTCTGTGTTCCCTCCTCGCACCTGAGATGTTAATTGTTCTCACACTGTAGCAGTGCCACAATCTAATCATGTTGCAATCTCAAGACGCACAGAATCATGCGCATGGCACCTTTGATACGTACACCCTTCTTCACCTTAGCAACGACAGCTTGCTATTAAGAGCAACCCACGTGGAAGACAGCGGAGGCAACTTGACGACATTGAGAAGAAGGGAGTGATGGAGGAGGCAGTATCACGGGGAATGACAAACAGCAGCGACAGATGGTAATGCAGAACGACGCCGCATATCCGATACTTGCATATCCGACTCGTCTGGGTGCGGTGTAGGCGAACATGTGTCGGTTTGATGAGAAGTTGTCCTTTTTATGATCGCCAATAGTGTAGGGCTGGTGATTGGAAGTAATCGTGGAGAGAAGAATTAATAATTGTTATGATGATGATATTGTTGTTTCTCACCTTCTTGTCCCATATCTGAAGGGGCTTGCTGCCGATGCTGTACAGGATGGATAGGAATCCGCTCTGGAAGGTGTTTTTAAACATCGTCGACTCGAATGCTGTAACTGCAAGTTGCTTATTCGCGATAGTTATATTTTCAACAGCGTTTTGTTTTGTGTTTAAAAAAAAAACCCCACAAAATTTGGATTTAAGTGACTTGGAAAGACGCCGCTCCGATCTCTCTTCCGCTGCCACTGCCGCGGGCCTCGTTCGGCCGCCTCTGCGTGGAGCCCGGGTCCCCCGTCACCCCTAGCAACCAAGATCCCTCCGCAGCGGACAAACCCCAAGGCGAGCTCGGACGCCTCTCCACAATCCCCGCTCCGATTCCCTCAATCGCCGCTCGCCTTTTTGCCAAACGAGCGCGGGACGAGTTTGCCGCGCGCCCCCCTCCCCTGAGGTCTTGGCTCCCCACCGGCACGCGATGCGACGGTAGCGTTAAACCCGTCCGGTAGCGTTAAAACGGCCGTTGCCTGGGAACTTGGGCGCGCTCGCTCACTCGCTCGCTCGCTCGCGTCTTGCTGCTGCTGCTGCTCCCGCCGCTGCGGTTTGTGCACGCGGAGAGGCCGAGCGGTGTGGGGTGGGGAGGGCGCCGCGGGGGTGGTGGTGAAGCGGCCGCCAGCGAGCGCCCCCGCGCGTGTGTTTACCCCCTCGGGCTCGCGCGCGTTGCCATGGCGAGGGCTGGACGGCGCGATCTCATTGGTCGAAGACTCGCCCTCCCCCGTACCGCCGTTGCCCTAATAAGGCGAGGCGGCGCGGGACGTCGAATTTGGCGCCAAAACGACGGGCAAGAGGGAGCGACCCCCGCGTGTTGTGGAAACGCGGGAAAGCGGCGTGGTCACCAGGCGCAGTGCTACCTGGCAGAGCGGTGCGAGCGGGCAGGAGGAGGAGGAGGCACTTGACATTGTGTTTATGAACACTGTGGTAACCGCCCCGGCCCCCCCACCCCTGGACAAAGACACGAAGCTTGTATTCAGGTTTCCATTGGGACCGTCTGAATTGAAATAATTGGGCCGTTACACACAATATTGCTGGTACGTAACTGGCTGTGTGTGTGTTTATGATAAAAAGAATTAACGGCTTGAGTAGATTGTTTTTTTCCTTCCATCTCTACTTGTAAAAAAAAAACACAATAATTGATTTAGTCGTGAAAATTTGATTGATATATTTCAAAGTAATTATAAATGACACTTCTGATTTATTTAAATACGAACCATAAAGTACTCTAAAAAATTATAAAAAAAAACAGCTTTGCATTGTATTTTGAACTTCTTGTGCCACCCTCCGTTGCCAACCGTGATAATCCGAGGTGCGCAACTTATATCTCGGTTGAATTGTCCGGTTTGTCGGCCTATTGTCACGTCTCTGTAAAGTCATCTGTATCATCTCGTTTGTACCAATTTGTACCGTCATCAAGTATCTTCGTTTGTTCCGTCTTGCTATGCCCATTCGTCTAAATAAAGTACGTTTACGTTCTTGATTTTGAAGCTTTGGTGACCGCAGGAATCCAAACTCTTTTGGGTTCTTTTGGTAAAGTCACGGAGGTAGAAAAATAAATGAAATAAAACAAAAAGTAATAAATACATCGCCACGTTTCGATCGCAAGACGAAGCGATTCGTCCTCTGGCGGGGAAAATAATAATCCAGCAGCGGAACAGCTTTTACCGCCTGATCGAAACGTCGTGATACATACATTTTTCTTCTTTGGTTCTTTCGGTAAAGTCACGTAGAATGAGAATAAAATAACACAATAAAATTCTCACGACGTTTCGGCCACAACGCAAGCGGCCGCTTGCGAAACGTCGTGAGAATTTTATTGTTTTATTTTATTATTTTATTCTCATTCTACGTGACTTTACCGAAAGAACCAAAGAAGATGAATCCTTGCAGTCACGAAAGCTTCAAATCGAAATTTACATTTTTATATAGGGAAACAATAAAAATATTGTTCTACGTGACTTTTCCGAAAGAACCAAGAATATGAATCCCTGCATTCACGAAAGCTTTAAATCAAAATACATTTTTTTGTCTGTTTATTTTATTTATTTTTCTACCTACGTGACTTTACCGAAAGAACCCAAAAGTATGTTTACGTTTTGCAAGCGTTTAATATCGACTCCTGCACCCGGTATATTAGATAAGCACAAAGGCATCATCATTTAATGTTGTTGCACGTTACTGTTGAATCCGTATATTGCGCAACATCCTGTGTTAAACACTGCGGCTTCGTCGACTTCGTTTTGCAACACAGTTACACGCTAAGCAATTCATTCTACTCGAGGGACAATTTCCTCCCCACCTCGCATGGCAGGGCCATCTCGCCGCCTTTGACACGAAAGTTCACTTTTGCAGACCATTTCCAGAACTAGGGCGATATAGACGGATAACAACGGGATTGTCATTTACCCTGATAAAGGCAGATTAATCACGGTTTCTTTTATCGATACAGCCCGTATCAGGCAAAAAACCACACACACACACCCGTATTGAACAAGTCCTTTGCGTTACCATGACACCCGTTCAGCCAATCAGAGCACACCGCAGCCGGTGCAACAGCAACACATTTCAAAACCGGTTTCGAACATTGTCACAAGTCGCAGACCCGAACACAACTCTTTAACTTCCCTTCGGCTTAAAACGACGACATATTCGTTTTACACGCAGAGCATGATCGCACGCAACATTTGCGGTCAATTGTCGGCAGCAGGCATTAAAAGCCAGTGCGCACACTCCGTTATCGCCGTTCCGGTGAACTTTTCAAAAGGTATATATTGTACTCCTTGTTCATTGTGCACAGTATTCGTATCGCAGGGGTTTTGCTTGCAATAAACTTTGGCAAGTGGCTATCTTAAATAAAATTAACTGAAATGAAGGCTCGCTGTGACTGATAAGGTAAAACTGGTCAAACGTAGGTACGCAGAAACATGTTTTATTGTGAAATGTGGGTTTCAAACATTGGACAAAAATGTTATCCAGGTAAAATGGCCTAAAAAAATCAAACTACGCGTGAAAGAAAACCCACCATGCTCGAAATTAAGACAAAAATAAGGAATTGCGTTGGCAGTGATGCGCAGGCACAACACAAAACGTACCACATTCGTCATTAACACTGCCCTATAACAGGCTAACGTGTCGGGCAACAGCCCTTCTTCAGAGAAGACGGCAAAGCGAATGACTTAGTTAATTTCCTACCCGCTGATTACCCAGCACAGGAAAACACAAAACATCTCTTTAGAAATTTCAATCCTTTGATCCGGGCAACACCGCAAGTTGCCAGGACGCACGGTGGCCGCGCATTTGAAATGCAGCAACGGCTATGGCAACGCGACACCCAACGAGTGCACAATGGGGGGCAAAGCTTTATCACGTTTATTAAAGAACAGCGTTTACACCCCGGACCGTCTCCTCTCGTCAAACATCCACGCACACACACGCACACAGTCGCTGTTAAGGCGCAGCCTGCACGGGGGAGGGGAGGGGGACACAGACAGCACCAAGTGGGCACATTGCAGGGCGGCGTCAACATTCAAATCAAGTCAGACCTTCGCAACAGTTGTTATTACTACTGCACTAAGAATTTCTTCTCTTCTTTTTTCAGTATTACAAAATGTGTGTACTGTATTGTAAGCAGCCACTGCGACGAACGTGGGCGCACCGCCGACCATTCTCTGCGGCCGTGCGGATATCGACTTCCCATTTCCAAAAAAAATACTGAATTAACAGGATTCGAGTGGAGGCCCCATTTCGATGTCTTCAAGGTCCTCGTTATTTATCAAGATATCAGGAGCCGCCCCCTCTTCCCACCCCCCCCCCCCCCCTCAAACAAAAAACACTAAAACGCGTGCATGTTCAACGACAAAACCTATTATGAGGACTCGTGGCCAGACGTTTTTGCGGTGGTCAGCACTGGGTAAGAGATGTTTGGCAATTCTCGTGACCAAAGCACCTTGTGTTCGTCAATAAATGTCATCCATTGTACCGTTTGGGTGCCTATGTTCTGAAAATGTTCGGTGTCAACTGGTGGCGAACTTTGGGGCAACTCGGGTTATGCCTGCATGGGCCGTTCTTTGGGAGCAACACATAAGCAAGCCGAACTGAACAGGCATGTCTGAGCACCAGGTTGGCCGCGAAGGCTGCCTCTGCACTCCCGCCACTGTCACCCACAGTTTGACCATCAAAATGGTAGACGCTTCACGCATAGCATGGCCCAAGGTGGAGTTGGTGGCAAGAAAAGCTCCCATCGACTAAGCACTGCAAACACCGCTCTGCCTTGCACGCTGCAACGCATTAGTATGGGGGGGGGGGGTGTTTAAGAGTGGCGCCACGCACCCGCACCCAACAGAAAATAGTAAGTGGTAAAGGACTTGCATTTTCGGTACGGAACTCGAGATACAATACGCACCGTGTACTTTTACACTATTTGGTCAGAATTGCTTAGTCGCGGTCACATGTGCAAATCACACAAGCGCTGTTTTACCAGTGTTCTCTCTTTTTAATGTGGTTCTTAAACATTTGGCGATCCCCTCCGGTCAATGCACGGGCGACAGGGAAATTCGAGGCGATGTTTGCAGCAGCAGCAGAACGTGAACGGTACAGATTCAAAAATAACAGTACTGTAATTTATATAGAAAAGAATCGAAATGTGACCGCTGGCCACTCCGATATTCCACACCCTGCCAGCCAGTGGAAGCAAACGGTGTACGCTACCACTACTCAACAGCACAAACGCATTTTCAGCCAAAGACCGGCAAGGTAACACACACAGCAGAGGGCCAGACCTATTTTCAGCAGATGCTTCCATAAACAGTTTGACAAGTTGATTGATCCCCGTTTTTTTACGTTTCATTCTCATTTAGTTTTCACCAAGTAGGCTGTTGTTGCAATAACCCATCCACAAAACTATGTGAACAGGTCATACTATGGCTATGGCGGTCTGCCCCAAGGTAGACCTTGATGCGTTTTAAGTTATTTTTACTGGCATTAAACCTTTCCAATACATAAACAGCACAGCACAGATCACAACAGGAGGGCCTTTTCTTCCCACGACAATCTAATTTCCACATTGATCAAGGTCCATTTCAGCCTGCTGCACATCGAGTAAGAGCGAATGAAGGAGTCTTTCAAAGGGACATTGACTTGCATGTCCGCTTGTACAATTGTCGATGTAACAAAATAAAAAATAATCCAATAAATAAACATCAGCGTTCGCAGGTTTCCAGCAGTTGGGAGGACATTCCATTCCATATGGAATCATTCATGTACACAACATAATTAGAAAAAATGATTTCCTTTAATGTAAATATTAGGTTTCACCCTTTTTAAAATTAAGCAATGTTCTCAAAGCATTATTTCCACAAGTTGGACGAATTGATATCCACATTTTTCAAGTGCTCTTTCTGAGTATGATATCTATTAATTCTGGAGTAAGGCTATTGCTAAGCACAATTAACCGTAAAATTAGTACTTAAGCATTTAAAAACTGGTTTAAGTTGACATCATAATAGCCCAAAGGCCAATATCAAAATAAATTATCACCTCAGCACTTGCACAGCCTAGCATGTTCTTTGCTTTTGCGAAATCGCCATTAATTTCTCATGATGCCTTTTGCACAGGAATGCAAAGCTTCCTTTCCGTACCCTATGTCATTACCACACACATCCTGGACTGCAGTACTGCTAGTTTTAAAAAGCCATGAAAAACGGAAATGTTAAGCACCAAAATGCAGAAAACTTTTTCTTATTGTAGTCACAAAAGATGCTACATGAATGCATACTTTTTCCTTGAAAATACGGGATAAAATAAATTTGGGGGAAAGAAAAAGGCCCCTAAATAAGGGATTTCAAACACTGGAAAAAAACAACCTCACTGCCTTTAAACACGTGCTTTAGTAAGGGAACTCCTTCCCGCCTTATGCATGTTTGAATAATCTTGGGCTCCTCTCAAAGAACAGTCAGAAATCATTTGGTGAACATGGAAAGGGTACAAAATTGTACGGCTCCACCTTTATGTCCAAATGGCAACGCTGGATGCAGGTCAAATCTACAGAAAACTGCCCAACCTTGATTAGATGCCTTTTCAGCCGATACTGAACATGTGAACATCAGCAGTCTCTCCACAAAAGTCCGTCTGCAATAACATATTTGTGTTGTACCCGTGAGGTCTTGTACGAATGTTTAGTATATATTGCAGTATATTAATAAAAAAAATAACAAAATTTTTTAACAATAATAATTAAACAAGACCCTTAGAAAATTCTAAACCTTTGTACGGCCTGTGCATCACGACAAACTGTAAATCGGATTTCCAACCAAACCTGAGGAAGCCAGCTCACCCGTTCCGGACAACGCCAAAACCTGACCCATCCCCCGCTTGCTTAATGACATTAGTGGCAGGTTGGGAGATTTCTGTTTTACAGTGGCTGCCCCAACCGATCGCTCGGTCTCGGCCGCACACACGTGTGGCCACAGCGGCCCATCGCGACATCCACGGGGCCACACGGCACCCCCCCCAGGGGCTACTGCTGTGACCCGCCGACCGCTGCTGCCGTTTGCAGGGGAGGGGTGGCGGGAGCCCCGGCGGGGGACAGCATGGCCCCCCCTGACGTCAGGCTCCCACGTGGTGAGCTCAGGCCTGCTGGAGAAAGATGTATGAGGGGAAGGAAGTGACTAAAGGGCATGGCAGACACACAGCATTACAAACCGCCCAAAATGTACCTGATCTCACAGTATAAGTTGAGTCTGGACAGTGCTTGGTTGGAGGGCCATGTTCACCAGTTGTCATATGCAGCTGTGAAGCTACAGGTGGGACAGTAGAGGGGAGTGAACCAAAATCCATTGCTATCTTGTATTTCTTTGCTCCACACCTTCACCAACCCACACTGACCAGAGAAATATGAACAAATAACCCCCACGACCTGCACAGTATGGGAAGGCCATTGCGGTCAGTGGACAAAGGGCTGTGAATGTATATGTTAACAGTGCTGATTTAGAGGCCCTCTGACAACTTAAATTCGGCACAAATATACTTACTCTTCCGCTGTGTTTTTTTCTGTGTCCTTTCCCCAAATATTATCCCGATTGCATTATTGGTGTTATTTTATTCAGAATGGCCCGAGGAAGTCGATATCACAACTATTTCTGAGATCCCTTTAAGCGACTATCAACACACTTGGGGGGCAGCACTTTCCCACCCACCCTGCTTCAAGGTAATGCTGTCCAGTGACAGTCATGAAGCTATTACAAATATTGTAGCTGGAATTAATCCAAATTAAGTGAATAATTTGTTGTTGTTGAGGCATTGGTGACCCAGCTGAGTTCATCACACTAAACTTAATCTGGTACAATAACAGCGGCTCTGACTTCTGACCCACACGGCCACCTTCATTTACACTGTTTCTATAAAACTATCAATTCAACTGTACATGTGCACCAGTGGGCCATCCCATGCTTTATACACATTCTGCCAGAAGTATTACATAAACAGTTACTAATGCAACACTTATTGCTTGGCCAAAATGTATTGTATACACTCTCCATTTGAAACTTATGGGCAGGACCCCGGGGTTCCATAAGCCCCCGGCTCTCGCATAAACTGATGCCACGTCATTTTATGTCTGTTGAAGGCGAACGATATGGCAATCTATTCCTCTCGACAAGCTCTACGTGATGCGCTAATAAAAGTTTGGTTTCTTCTGCGCATTCATCCTTGCTGCGCTTGCATATTACAACAGAATGATCCACGCCAGGTGGGTCATGGCGTTTATGTGCGCGGTGGGACAGAGTCGCCAAAAATAAATTACGATTTTGACTTCCGTTTATTTGAACCCCGGGGTCCTGCCATAAGGTTAATATATCGCAACACTGCACTGCTGTGTATAAATGCGATACATTGAGAATTATGTTACACTATGGGTTACACAACACGCAACAGTCTGCAAATAGCATTCAGTATCTATCCTGTGTACACTGTGGTAGCCAACATTGAACTGCATATTCAATATATTTATACATATTAAACAGATCCAAATCATTTACCAAAGTTATTGACCAAAATAGGCATTTAAAATCATGCTGTCACTCGTACATTTTTCTGGCTAAAATAAGAAAATGTCACCCACGACTTGACAACAATGGCAATGATTTGCCAAGTCATGGAGCGATACAGACCTGGGGTGGAGCTTGGGGTCGTGGAGTTGCCAAACAAACCACTCATCGAGCCCTTCCTGCCGTGCTCCTTCACCACGGGGTCTGCCAAACACAACACAAACCATTTAAACGACCGCAACTTCACCTTCAAATACATACCAATGATTTGTTTATGCATTATGCTGAACCATTAAAATGATAATCAATTTTTTTTAGGCAAAATTATGAGGGTCAGACTGAAAATGTCCATGTTTAACATGCTCTCAGTGTGAAAATAGTGTTAAATGGTAAAAAAAAAATCAGTAACCGTGGAAGAAAATTTGTTTCACGTGGAACATGGTTAATAATTTATTATTCCAAGTATGCCTGTGTATGGTCACATCATTTTATTTTCAACACACTTTACAAGCTCTAAATGCCAAGGTCCCAAAGACCAATGAGTAAGTATTATTTGCCACATTGGTGTAATAATATAACAGGCATGCATCATATCAGAGGGACATTAGAGAAGCAACAAGATACATCACACCGAGTGTGTGTATATAACCAACTTGGCAACGGCAATGTGCACGTTGCGCTGGCACCGTGTCAGACGTACAGAAGTATGGATGCTCCATGGCCTCACGTGGCGTGAGCCGGGTCTGATGGTCGTATCGCAGCAGCTTGTCCAGAAAGTCGAGCGCCTCGGGGCTCACTAGGTGCTGGTTCTCGCTGTGCACAAATCTCTCCCAGCGTTTACGCGAATGCCTGTGGGTACGTCGCAACAGAAAACAGTTGGCTCGCGTTTGTGTGGTTCACAAGCTGCAAGTTAATATTTCAGCATCAGTGGTGGGGAACATTTTCTTTCTTGATGACCAAAAATTACTTTTAAATACCTATTGTAGGCCACACATTACATACGTAGCTTTAGCCAATAAAATACATACATAATTAACAGTTCACTTTTACAGGGTGTTTGATGTACTAAAATTACAAATGATTTTGCCTGGTTTAAAAATATCCCCCCCTCTACTAGCCAATTAATGTGGCCAAGATTCTTGCAGTGCTGCAAAACTATCGTTTGCAAGCTATTTCGAAGTGGTAGGCCTCGTGTGGCAAATGGTGGCATGAAATGAAATATGATGCAGCTTGTGGGCCCATAGGTTCCTCACTCCCTTTAGTTGTGAACACACCATAACATTCCCATAAGAAATGCAGCACAAACCATGCAATGGCTATTGTTTCACAAGCCTAGTTGCTAATGAAGGTTTGGTTGATACAGAAACCGTAACTTAACTACAGCTGAAATGAAGACCTGTGGAACTCACCTGCCCAGTATGTCATTGAAGCGTGGATCAAGATCGATATTGTACTTGTCGATGTATGTGTAGAGCTCTTCTGTGCCTAGCACGCGTGCGATACGCACGAGCTGTCGACATAAACACACATTCACAAAGAGTTCCACTGATGTTTTCAGCACACACTTGAGGTGTATAAAACACGTGTAGTGAGGAAGTGTTCAGTTTAAAGCTCTTACCTGGTCGTAGTTGTCGTGCCCATGAAAGAACGGCTCCTTGCGGAAGATCATGCTTGCCAGCATGCATCCAAGACTCCACATGTCAAGGCTGTAGTCGTACATCTGACATCACAACATCAACATCTTAATATCATGGCCTCACCAATAGCCCCCCTGGGCAAAAAGTTTGACAACGTATGGTGCAAAAGAAGTTCAACATACATACAAAGGCCGAACTGGTAAGTAGCAACATAATTTGCTCATGACAAAATTACACAGAATGCACCTGATCTCATTAGAATATCATAATCTAAGTGGTGTTGAGCCAGGACAGTGGTTGGATCGGCAATCAGAATGCACAAACAGGTTATTATAGGCTGCGGAGCTACATGATGAACATCAGAGGGCAGTGCCGCACAATCCATTGTTGCACTACTTCGATGCTCCTCACCAATACCAACCCTCAATGGACATCTTTAAGTATGGCCAAATAACCCCTACAACCCGCACAGCGTGGAGGTTTGCATCCAGTAGATTGACATACGTGCTGTATGTGTACAATGTTATCTGCAGGAAAGTAGTTTGCCTATAATAATATACTCCACTGGCACAGTATCCACCAACCTGATAGTCAACCAGAAGCTCGGGGCCTTTGAAGTATCGGGATGCCACTCTTACATTGTACTCTTGCCCAGGGTGGTAAAACTCAGCCAGGCCCCAGTCTATTAGCCGAAGCTGTAGAAAGACATCGGACGTACAGCACATCAGCATGGCTCAGCTGCATTTGCACAAGGCTGCAATAAAAGCTGTAGTGTAAAAACCCACAAATAATTGAGTTGACAGATGTCTATAAAACATAAGAATAAAGACAACTCTCATCGGAGCCTTATTACCAGGAGCTGAGAAACCAAGCCTTGTAGCAGCAGTGAAAACAGTACATGCATGTAGCTGTGAGCAGTACATCAATAAGTACTTGATCAGCATCTCTAACCATCTACAAAACTAATGCGTTGTTACCTTCCGGTTCTCGTGATCAATCATGACGTTGTGCGGTTTTACATCCCGGTGCATTATGCCCATGCTGTGACAGAAGTCGAGGGCCTTTGGAAAAATGGCAGCAGCAGAATACACATCAGACTTTCTCAAGCACAACATTATTTTCTCACGAAACTATAGGTCAAGTGAGACATTTCAACACTGCAAATTGCATCATAAAAGAACCTGCACTTTGGAAATTGAACTATGGTCTTTCCCCCTGACATAATACCTAAAGGTACACAGCTTTTTAAACTCTAAAAATCTACTGTCTCTTCCATAACTGTATTACATCATGCAGAGCATTGTGAATGGGCGATGTTGACAGTTGCACGTCAAGTATTCTTGCCAAGTTCTGTCAGCTCATGAAATACGAATGAAATTACAACTCGACAACAAACATTACAATTATAAGTCGAAGAGAATGTATTCATAATTCAGATGCAGGCATTTGTATGCCTTCAGGCTAGTGCTAAGCAACACAAGATAAGGTGTGGGATAGATGGATGGCATTAGTGCCTCACCTTCAGGATTTCATACATGTAGAAGCGAATGTCCTGATCTGTTAGCGTCTGGTAGAGTTGCTGTAACAAAATAAAAATATGGCCATGGAGGAAAAACCTTTCAACAGTTTTCTGGACATTTTGCACAAGAAAATACTTAATATTCAAGCCTAAAAAATTAACAAGTTGAACAGTGTACAGAAATTAATAGCTTACACAATTGTGTATATAGTGAGAACATGCAAAAGCAACAACTGTACACTACACAAAAAGCTACAAAAATACAGGTTGCCAAGCTAAATGAGCATGTGGGAGGTAAAAATGCATTACCTTGTAGTCTGTGTTGTTAACGTATTCAAATACCAGGGCCGGTGTCCGGGACTACAGAACAACACACCACATGCCCATCAGACCATGGCAGCAGGGTAAACAAACCAATGCAAACTTTCCATGCCATACCATTTCAACTACACAACAACAAAAATGTTAGCTTAATTATTAGCCAAAGCATGATTACATTATTTGTTTCACTTGTGTCCTTTTAAATGTTGAAAGGTTCTCGTAAATGAACAAAAATCTATTGATTTACAAGGTTTCCTGAAGGTCCTTCTGAGTGATGGTGGAAAAAAATAGCCCCACAGGAAAGACCCACAGACATCACCTCTGCTAAATAGCAGGGTGGATATTCGAATAATTGTATTGCTTAAATTGACGACCATCCTTCTCCTTGCAGCGCCATTTGAAGCAAACGATGGGGCTTTCGCCCTCAAGGACTTTAAGGACACCCTGCAGGCGCTTCTGTGCATATTTCTCAGTGTGCCCTGCATCATTGAGTGAAGGCAGCAGTCCTGCTCTGTGCAACAGCGGGCGTACGATTTAACACACACCACGGGGTCTTTGACGATGTCCAGTAGAGTGATTATGTTGGGACCTCCGCGCAAGTTCTGCAAGATCTTGATTTCTCGCTTTATCTTCTTCTTTTTGACTGGCTGCGCACACAAGGGGATTTGCATCAGCCACTGGCAACACTAAAATAGCACGAACATCCAACACCAAAGCTTGAGCGAGCAAGTGTGGCTGCAAGCGGTAATGCTTACCCACCTTGAGAATTTTTACCACGACCTTCTCGTTGTTGGTGATGTTTATGGCCTCGAACACCTCACTGTACTTGCCCCGACCCAGCTTCCTCACCAGCTGATAGTCGTCCTGGTTCCTGGAAAGTGTGAACAACGCTATATTCACCATTCAAGCATGCACCAACACTAGGTTGCGACCGCACCACCACACTCAGAAGCACAATGCACTGCACCGTCGTCTCCCAATCGAGCCCTCCCACATTACATGAACCAGGGCATTGTTTATTTATGCCGTACTCCCATACTCAAGGACAGTGGTTCACAGTGTGTCACATGCTCCTGGGATTTTTGACCAATGGTAATTTGACTATAAACCCAGGAGCCATAAAACAAGGAAATGCTTGACTGTGTAACAGCTATGTGCTTTTAAGCAATAAGGAACTATGGAGCAAAAAAACTCAACACCCGCCTACTGGACTAATGGAGCTACAACAGCCTGGTTTCAAAACAAGTTACTAACGATCTCAATGGTTCTAGCCAACGTCTAGCCTGACACAAGCCTAAAATCTAGACAAAAGACAAGCAGCCATAAGGCACGCCACAAAGGGCCGGTCAACCAGACAGTGGGTGTGGGTCGAGATCGGGGGATTGTTCTGTTATATGGTAATTTGCTAGTAACAAAAGCAACATGTCAATGTGCCTGGACAAGAAAGTTGATATTATCATCAATTACACACGTATACATCAGAAATTTGAACAATGACAAATGAGATTAAAACGCCGATGATTGTGCGCGCGCTTCTTACCCCCACTCCACGACGTGCGCCTCATAGTCCCAGTAGTCTCTCGCCCGGTGCGAGTTGGCCTCGGCGTACAACTTGGGCCGGCTAGCCACGGGGCCCGACATGGCGACCACAGGCGGCACCCTGTCCGTGCCTCAGGGGAACGTGGCTGAGAGACGAGAGAGCGACGGGGACCGTGAGCGAGAGTGACGGTGGAATGAGGAAGAGCTGGCAGTGTGCTTTGCGCGACGAAGTAGCCCGTGGTGGGGTGGGGATATTAATGCCGATTGCATGGAGCCCCTTTCATCCTGGAGGGCGTCCTTAAAAGAAGCTTTGCCTCACACATTCCGGGGATCTGATTACGGGGAGCGATGGGATGCCCGCGTGATCTGGGTCTGGCCAGGTATTGTTGATATGTTGCATTGGGGCCTGGCCAGGTGGCTGCGTGGGGTAATACCTGATACAAGGTTCACGTTGGGTTTTATAATCAGGACGGGTGTAAGGGTCGGGTCAGATATAGGACATAGGTCGAGTATAGCCGGACACATAGCTTAATTACAATCGCCAGGCTGGTTACGGGGAATTTATACAAGGACTGCTGGTATAATAAAGGACAAGCACAGTACAAAGGCCAGCCTGGGAGTAGGGGCTCACTACAAAGTACGGCTGGATACAGGGATACGGATATTCGAACCCTTTAGAGGATGCGGTGAACAATTACGCCCTGCGATTGGATTCAACCACGGATAAAAAGAGACGTGGCACAGGATAAACGGCCCTGCTACTGGGTATATCGACCCAGCTTAGAGTATAGCGACTTGGTCAAATAATGTGTTGTAGAGTACAACAGGCCGTACCACAGAATCCAGATACGAGAGAAAATGTGCTATACGATCTGGCTGTAAGATATATAGCCCTATGGGAAACAGGAGCACGCTAGCGCTATTGTGGTACATAGTCCTACTATAAGACTACTTTCAGGGGGGTCCATATTGATAATGGATCATTTGGAGGTTCAGGCCAAACAGGACCCTGCCGTCAGGGTGTACCGGGCCCTACTCGGGGGCTTAAGGCGCCCCCCCAAAACATACAACGCCATTAGGGGGTAGAAGGCCCTACTAGGCGGTATAGGACCCGGTCAGGGTTATGGGACCTCGCTATTTAATACAGGATTCTTCCAGGGGATACAGAAACCTGCTGGGGGGGGGGGGTATAGGGTACATTTAGGAGACAGGGGGGCCCCCGTTAGGGGGTACGGCACCCCTATAGGATCCAGCCAGGGGGGTAGAGCGCCCCGATGAGGGGCTACAGGGCCCTCAAGAGGACACAGCGATGGGGCCGGCACACGTGACCGCTAGGCCGGCGCCTCGTGCTCGCCTGGCGGGGAGGTCTCAACCCTCGCCGCGCCCGCGTTTCACGCAGGGGCGCCTCGAACCGCGGCGAATTCGCGACGCAACAAACAAAAAAACCGAGCGGAGGCGAAACCGGAGTGTTTCTTTTCTCCATCGAGTATTATTTCATTCGTAAAAAAAAAAGTGAATGGGAAAGGAAAGAAGCAGCCGCTTACGTCGCGACGCACGGCCTCGCTTGCGCTGCCCGGGCCGCCGTGGAGCCGCAATATGGCGGCCGCTCCCTCCCCGAGCCCCTCCACTCTCCCACAGCCCCTCCCCTCCCCCATTAGCCCCTCCCCTCCCCCATTAGCCCCTCCCCTCCCCATTAGCCCCTCCCCTCCCCCATTAGCCCCTCCCCTCCCACCATTAGCCCCTCCCCTCCCCCCATTAGCCCCTCCCCTTCAACTACTCTCCCTTTCCCTTAACCACCCCCCTCCCCTCTTCCTAAACTCCCGCCCCCTTCCCCTTCCCCCCGCGACCCCTCCCCCTCCGCTCGAGCCCGATCACGTGACCGCGCGCGCCGTTCGCGGGAAAGCGCGCGCGTGCGTCCGCGTCAGTGGGGGAGGGGGAGTGTGGGCGGGAGAATCGATGTATTCATCGATTATAAGCGTGACTTTACCGAAATAAAAAACAAAGAGTATGAGATCCTTGCAGTCACGAAAGCTTCAAATCTAGAATTAATGTGATCTAATTATTTTATTTTGTTTTATTTTATCTACGTGACTTTGCCGAATAAAACCAAAGAGTATGAGCGACTAAATAATCGACCAAATTTATTAAAATCGACATTTAATCGATTATTGAGCGCAACATGCAAGCAACGTGTACGAATCGATTCAGGTGAATCTGTATTTAATTATTTCCTCGCCATTTAATTGATTGTGGCGTTTACGGGGTCACGATTCCAATGGCGAGATTCTCGACAATTGATTTTGTATTGATTTTGTATTGATTTGAAGCTTTCGTGACTACAGGAATCCATATACTCTTTGGTTCTTTCGGTAAAGTCCACGTAGTTAGAAACGATTTTGTTTTTACACTGTGCTGAGTGTAGCGGCCTCTAGTGTCTGTAGGGAGTCACGCGAACGCATTTTACGAAAAGCATACGGTTTCGAGAAAAAAATGGATTGTTCACACGCTTGATATCATCGATATTAATCGATAATTGTATTAATCAGTACACCCGGACGGAGCAATATGCGAATTCTTTAACCGGACTTATTTGTCCGAAATCGCAGGCAGGAGTTGAGCACGGATAGTGCTTAAATGGCCAAAAAGCATGCGTATAATCATGCGTTCTAAGACTGTAATAATAATCATTTACAATTGTAAGCCGTATTTAATCCATAGATCCCAATCAGTTGTACTGTATTATGTTACCATGCCCCCCACCCCACCTGCCTTATTAGTACCCAAAAATAGATGATATTGTTTCAGGCAACGGTCCTCCTGCAGAGCACAGAGGGGTTCAGATTGACGAATTATAGTTGGAAATCGGCCGGGCAGTGCCAATTATCCACGGAGCCTCTAACCCGGCCCTGCGGATGCAGCGAAGGTTGGTGTATCACACGTAGATGTTGTGAAACTCCCTTCACGTAAGGCGTAAGAGAATGCGCTTATATCCTGGCTCACCAGCAGAAGGCAGTAGAGCAAGTGGACTAATCTGTTTACATCTGTACGGGGATAGAGTGTTGCCCCCTCACGCCAATGGGTTTTCTCAAGCTCCACCGGTTTCCTCCCACTTGTATAAATACTGATCATTAATTGTCTGGAAAACATCTTTAACAAAAGAACCCAATGTCGCACGACCCTCGTGACAAAGGGTCATACAACGCAATGTAGCTTCTCTGATTTATCCATAAAGATAGCAAAGCTATTGTGTGTATGCAGTATGTGTTATACAGTGGGAGACTGTTAAAATTGCGAATCTAGAAACACTGATTCCTTCGGGGGGCTTAGTTACACGTAAATGGAGTTGAAGAATCGACTTTTAATTGAAACATTGTTGCATAGGTACACCCCAACTTAATAATAATACCGACGAGCTCTTTTGCATTAGAAATCAAAGTCTCCCTAATCAAAGCGAGCAACGGGGCAGCCCTGAGAAATCTGTACATTTCACATTTCCATGGCTGGTAACAGTCTATCCATAGGACCACCTCTGTTGACTTCCCACAATGTGGACATTCGGGTATGTACCCAGTAAACATGCAAAGTTGGGGCAATGTTGCCATGTGGTTGGAACCGTTGGACTAATGTTGGCCCAACGTTCCATGTTTACTGAAGAGTAACTACTGTATTAGGCATGAGTCGATTATACTTTTTCATGTCTACCGTCTTGTTGGTATGTTTTTAGATAATTGTTTTTCTCTGCTTAATTTGCAAAATTTTCTTCGTGTCATTAAGCTACGTAACGACGAACTCGTTTTTCTTTTTACAGCCATTTGTCAATCAACTGCTGTTGTGAATGTCTGTTGATCATCGGGGTTGTTTGAAAATACTTCAACCACACTAGTTCGTGCGGATGAAAGAAAGGCAGCGAGACAGATTCACATAAAACTCGCCACTTATGTTAGCAGCGGCACTTATGATTCCACGCATATTCAAATAGCACTGTTGACGATGTACGGTGCGAAAGAAGTTCAACATTATACATACTTTTGATTTAAAGCTTTCGTGACTGCAGGGATTCATATTCTTGGTTCTTTCGGTAAAGTCACGTAGAAGGGAAACAATAAAATAATAAAAATATATTTATATTATAAAATATATTTATATTTTATTATCTTTAAAATAAAATATAAATATTTATATTATAAATATATTTTATTGTTTCTCTTCTACGTGACTTTACCGAAAGAACCAAGAATAAACATACATACGACAGGGAAATTAACTCAGGTAACCAGGTTCATAGTGTAGTACAAGTAAAAACTGTGCAGATTTAATATTTCATGAATCGAATTAAACGGTGTGTTCTTTTAGTTGTGGTTGTCGATGTACAGGTGGCAAATAAACATACTTTGTGACATTATAACGTTCTATTTAAACACAGGACAACGTTTAAAGGTCTTCTTTGGTTCATTCTACGTGACTTTACCGAAAGAACCAAAGAAGATGAATCATTGCAGTCACGAAAGCTTTAAATCGAAACGTTTAAAGGTCCCTTTCTCAAACTCCGAGAGAGGAAGGCGGAACGCACGAGTGGCTGTAAAGTGGTGGGAGGAAACTTTAGCAATGTGGTGACTCAGTCCATCAACATTCAAAATAAACATTCGGTTTTGCAAACTGTTTCCTTATACTGTGTCACAATCTGCCGTTCTCATGTATGCTGTATAATAGGAGCATTCACCCGAAACTTCATCAGCGACTCTTCATCAATGACTGGTCGTTTGGTGTTTACGTATACAGTCGAATCTCGATTATCCATGTGCGGTTTATCCGATTTGCGGATTCACCACGCACCTGATATTTTGATACAAGTTAATTACTCATGGATTTTCCCTTAAGCCCAAAAGAATAATATAAAAACAGTTATAAATTGTCATTCTTGGAAATTTAATTGAAAGTCACGTGTGAAAAGCAAACAAGTATGTCCTCTGGTTAATCCGAAATCCACATAATTGCCTCTACAGTACAGTAGTTGCATATCTTTACAACGGTGGGCGGAGTTTGGTTGATTTTGATTGGCGCGGCTTTACGATCCACTTAGTGGACGGAGTCTTCTGTGCCGGATCGAATGTTAGTGGTTTTTGGCATCGATATCCTCGGAAAATTTTTATTTTTGTATTATCCGCGATTTTTAATTATCCCCGGCCGTCCTTCCCGTCATTAGCGTGGATAATTGAGATTCTACTGTTAGTTTTTTGTTTGTTACTTAACCGTTATTGTTTAGATCCGTTTTCCCTGCATTGTTATCTACTGAGAGGGGTTGCCATGTGGCCATGAGATGACAACACAGTAATGGATTGAACCCAGTAGCGTAACGAGTGTGGGGACTGGGGGGTGCCTTGGCCCCCTTGGCGGCCAAAGCTACGAGTTGGGCCCCCCTCGACAACCACCATGTACCTTGAGTAAGAGAACATTGGACATAGAACTTCGTTTCTGGTATATTTATTTAATTAGATACGCACCCATTATATTGCAAAGAGGAACTACAGAGCTTTAGCGGCCGCATTGTGCGAAGACGGAGCGCCCCTACAACATTAAATGTTCGAGACCGGGAGCGTAATGATGTGATTAGGCAAGAGTAGCCGCGATGTGTAATAGTCGAGGTGCGACCGTGTGAGACAAATAAAATATTGGGGCCCCATCTGACCAATTGCCCCACCACCACCCCTGAGCTGATTACGTAGTTACGCCACCGATTGAACATATCCGTGCCGAGTTTCGAATGTTACCCCTCGGGTACGTGTTTGGTTTCTCGGGGCACTGCGGTTCCCCATCACACGAAGCCAAATATACTCGAATTCTCGTGCACGGAATTGGCCAAACATGGTGCAAGTACACTCGTGAAGTGTTCACTCCAGGATGCTATCTCAGTTCTGCGTGGCGCCAAGAGGCGGCGCTGCGGTACCGTAGACGGCTGGAAAAGTTTCCGAACCCCCCAAATCAACAAGCGAGAGAGAATTTACGACGTGCCGAGACGAGGCGTGAAAAAACACACGGGGCCGTCCATAAATGACGTCACGCGATTTTGGACGATTTTTGACCCCCCCCCTCGTCATACGGCGTCACAAAAAGTCAGACCCCCCCCTCAAATATGACGTCACAAAGCTCTGCCCTCCCCCCAAAAAAAACATGCTTCAAATCGCTTTAAACTATTGTCATTGTAGTGCGGATTTAATGTGGCGCTGCACTCTGATGTTGTAGGAGAAAACATTTATTGAAAAAGTCTATTTAATTAAGTAGAACGTGTTGTCTATATTTATTTAAAGTTGCGCATTTTGATGTGACGTCACATTTCTCAACCCCCCCCCCCTCGTCACACATCGTTACAAATGTCTGACCCCCTCCCCCCCCTAGGTGCGTGACGTCATTTATGGACGCCCCCCTAGTCACAATTACGATACATATTCGCGATACGGGATTACACTAATTTTTGGACCAAAACCGATTAATCAGTCATCATTATCCGTGACCTATCGACTGCTGGACGAAGGATTCCCAAGTGTCCATACTCTTTGGTTCTATTCGGTAAAGTCACGTAGGTAAAATCTTTTTTTTACCTACATGGTAGGTAAAAAGGAGTATGGATCCTTGCAGTCACGAA